AAAAAAAAAAAAAAATTGGCCAAGCAGAGCCAGTAGTTGTTAAATGCATCAGAATGGTGGATATTTGTTTTAATCTTTTAAAACACAGGTTGCTGGCCCCCACTCCCATGTGTTTGATTGAGTAGGTATGGGGTGGGGCCTAAGAATGTACATTTCTAACAAGCTTTCAGGTGATGCTGCTGCTGGTCTTGGGATCATGATTTGACAACCACTGAACTGAAATATAGAGAGGAAGACACATGTCCTAGTGACAGGCCCACTGCACCCCATTAGTGTGGGCCCAAATTTAATGTAAGCTGTTAAATTTTGTCCTTTTGTTTAGGCTAAATGAGTTAGTCTTTGACCCTGGCAACTGAGAAATTCTTGCCCAATACAACAGTCTTTGAGGTCTTTCTTGAAGGCCTGTCTGGTTTCCAGATAACTGGTGAGAAGAAAGCCGATGTCAGCGGTAGCAGGGTAACAGGTTAGATAGTAAGAACTTTGATGAGAACATGTGGGAGACAGAGAATGCAGTAGGTATTAGAAGCAGATGTCCAGCTGGGCAGAACCTCTCACACATAGTCCTGCCCAAGCCTGCGACTGGCTGAGGTCACCTCACCTGGCCCCAGGAGGCCCCCTGACTTCTCCTTACCTGAAACCCAGCATACAGGAGCAACAGTGGTAGGATGGCCACGATGGCCAGAGGAGTGGCCAGCACCACCACCACGCTGACCTCCAGGAGTCCAAATGCGTAGGTGAGCAAGGACCGGAGTTTGTCTGGGATGTCCACATCGACTGTGTCTGTCTCCCTGGAGAAGTGGTTCAGCAGGTTCCCAACAGGTGTCTGCTCAAAGAAGCCGACGGGCAACCGCACCACATCCCACAGGAGCCTCTGGAAGAGCAGTCTGGATGCCTGGACCCCACGTAGGAGCACCATGGCCATTGAGGCAAAGAGCCCAACGGCTGGGAGGAGAGGACATCAGAGCATGAGGGTGGTGTCCCCTGAGCAAGAACCTCCGCCCCACACACATACACACACCCCATGGCAGCCATTTATGATATGGCCACTTTGATTGTCCCTCAGTGGAACCACCCTAACCTCCAGTGACAAGGGGCTAACTCCACCCCTTGGTTCTTGGGCGGGACAAATTCCATCCCTGAGTCAATGAAAGTGAGAGGTGGGACTCTGTAAGAACTTTTAGGAAAGAAGTGCTCTCTTTTCGGGGTGGCCAAGCTGGGACTGTGGAATACCATCTTGCCAGCTACAGAGCCTGCCTGGATGAGAAACCATAACAGAGGAAGGAAATGAAACACTTTCTCACAGCTTTGTTATAACCCCTGCATCCAGCCATACTTGAAACTATTACTTATGGATTCCAGTCATATAAACCAACAAATTCTCTTGTTCCTCAAACAAGTTTGAGGTTGAATTTTCTGTTCCTTATAATCAAAAGTCATAACTAATCACCATCTCTGGGCTCTAGTTTCCCCATCTTTAGAACAAGGGTCTAAGACCCCTAGCTTATTCAAATGAAGGATATGGAAGGATTTTAGAAGGTAATGTGCCTCCTAACGAGCATCTGAAGTCATGCAACAAGGGCTCAGCTGACTCTCATTTCACTTTTCAGTTCTTTTTGTTTAACTATCACCGTCCCTTGAGTGTCCCACTATCTACCCTGTTCTGGCAAACAGGTCTGTGGACGCCAAAGACTAAAAGGAGCCTCAGAGTTTAGGACCAATGCCCCATTTTACAGAAGAACACACATGCCCACAGCCTTCTGGTAACATGGCCAAGGTCACCCAGTGAATCAGGCAGACTGCAGGCAACTTGAAAATAGTGCAGCCACCCTTTAAAGATGAGGCTAAGTTCACAGGTTCGTCCCCACCATTCCCCCCAGCCATTCTCCTTCTTCAAAGAAGAAGATGAAGCAGAGGTTAGGGATAGGGGAAAGGAGCTCTGGTGGTATAGTGGGTAAGGCATTTGGCTGCTAACCAGAACGTCACTGGTTCAAACCCACTAGCTGTTCTGTGGGAGGAAGATGAGGCAATCTGCTTCCATGAAGATTTATAGCCTTAGAAACCCAATAGGGGTCACTGTGAGTTAATCACTTAAGACAGTGGGTTTGGTTTGTTTTTTGGTAGGGATAGGGGAGAGGCTGGAGGAGGTGGATGTGGTTATAAAAGGGCAATTAAAAAAAAAAAAAAAACTCACTGCCGTCAAATTGATTCAAGTCATAGCAACCTCTCCTTGGTTTTCCAAGGTGGTTTCAGGAAGGTGGCTGATGGGTTTGAACTGCCAACCTTTTGGTTAGCAGTCAAATGCCTTAGGCGCTACAATGTTGGGACTGTTCAGTATCTTGACTGTAGTGGTGGACACACAGACCTACCCAGGTGATAGAAGTGTATAGAATTTAATACTATATGCACACAACACATGTGCACAAGTAAAAGTGTGGAAACCTGAATAAGATTGGTGGATTGTATCAGTGTCCATATCCTGATTATCCTGTAGTGATACTGTACTGTCATTGTACAAAATGTTACCTGACTAGGGGGAACTGGGCAAAGTGTACATTGAATCTCTGCAGTGTTTCTTATGACTGCATGGGAATGAATGTACAATGATCCCAATAACAATTTAAACTGAAAAAACAAAAAGGAAGATGGGAGGTGAGGGTGACAAGGTGTCTGGAGATTTGGGGATGGGAGTGGTAGAAGCATGTGACTGGGGTGAGGATGCTGAAAGACAGAAGCCAGGCCTTGGAGCTGCCCTCTGGGCAGAGGGACAGAGTCCTGCTGACCCCACTTAAGTGCTCAGCTGCCCAACATCTGGGACCATAAACCTGCATTTGAGACCCCTCAGCCTCTGCACTTGCAGGTGAGCTGGGAGAGGCTGAGGGTCCCAGAAAAGGAGGGATAGGCTCTGCCCCCCACATCCCTGAGCCCCATCTCAAGGACGCAGGTCTGTGCTTGGGCCCAGGCCATTTTGCACACGTGTGTAGGGAGGATGAAGTGAGCCAGGGATGGGTGAGCAAGGGAACCCTGAGCACCCGCAGGTAGAGCTGGGAGAATGGGGGATGAGGAGGGTGGGAGAGGAGCACCTTGGAGACAGCCAAGGAGCCCGAAGACCAAGCCACGGAGGGCCGTGTGTGCCTGCTGCCCGTCCACAGCAGGGTCATCCGCCCACAGGCTCAGCCAGTAGCTGCGGCAGAAGGAGGCCACTTGCTGGCAGAGGAAGAGGAAGATCACGTAGAGGCAGAAAGGGGCACCCACAGCCCGCAGGTAAGTCAGGTACATGGCGGGCTTCACCTGCAGCACACACAGGGGAGGTAGTGGCAGTGAGAGGGCCCTGCGGGGAGGTGAACACATGCCAATGGGACACATGGAGCTCCCATGCAGAACTCCCAGGGCCTCCGGAACCTCCCACAGGCCCCATCTAGCCTCAGGACCCCCTTCCTCTGTGAAGCCCCCCTAATGGGCCAGGGAGACATGCAAAGGTGACAAGCTGGGCACTTTCTGTTTTGGAGGGATTTGTTGGACACCTACTATGGCACAGGCATGTTCTCTAACCTCACGACCGCCCCTATTTTACAGATAAGGAAACGGAGGCACAGCGAGGTTAAGGAAGCATGAGATCCTACTGCAGCCAAACCTCTGAAACAGCTCCATCTGATTCTGTTTTGCTGTTTCTGACCTGCCCACAGCTTTTCCTTGCTCTTAGAAGAAAATCCACACTCGAACACCTCTCTGACCTTACCCCTACTCACTGTTTGCCAGCCTCATGGGGCCCCTCTCTCTTCTCTGGCATCCCAAGCTATTTCCTACTTCAGAGGCTTTGCACTTGCTGTTTCCTCTGTCCACAGTCCCCCTTCTTTCCACAGCACCTTCCTCAGCATCCTTCTGGGCTCAGCTCAAATGTCACTTCTCAGAGCATCTGATTCAAAGTGGGCCCCAACCCCAGTTGCTCTCCAATTCCACACCCTGTTCTATTTTTTTTTTTTTTAGTACTTACCATCATCAGATACTACTTTGCTTATTAGCCTAATAATTTGCAATCTGTCTTCTCCTACCTAGAATGCAATCTCCACCAGGGCAGAGTCTTGGCCTGGCACCTCGTGGATGCTCTGTAAATGTCTGGTGGGTGGATGAGTGGATGAGTAAATGGCTGGATGGATAGGCAGGTGAATGAGTAAGTGGATGGATGGTGGGGTTGGGTGGGTGAATGAGTGGATAAATGTGTGGATGGTGGACTGGGAGGCTGGGTAAATGGGTAAATGAATGAGTATGTAGATAGAAGGTTGGGATGAATGGATGGATGGGTGGATGGATGGATAAATACATGGATGGTTGGGATGCATGGAGAGGTGGGTGGAGAGTGGATAGGTGAATGGGTGGCTGGATGGATAAATGAATGGGAATTGGTGGATGAGTGGATTGATAAAACACCACTGAAAAGGAGAAATATACAAGTTTCAAATTCAGACTGATCTAGATCTGAGTCTCAGCTTGGCCACTGGCTATGAGAATATAGACAAGTCTTGAAACTGTTAAAGACCTCTAAAATGGAACTATCACCTACCTTTTTAGGTGCTTTTCAGTATTAAGGAATATGAAGTGCCTGGAATCTAATCTGGCACATGGTAGTGCTTAATAAAGGTGAGCTGCCCCCTGTGCTGTGTCTGGTGGCGGTCTGGGATCCCTGGGGGCAGCAGCAGCTGCAGGTGGGGAGGGGAGGGAGCAGCTGGTAGTTACCCTGCCATATGGCATGTGGTCTTCTTCGGTTGGCCATCTTGCCCCTTCACGGTCATCTAGAGTGACCCCTGTCTGGGCCTCTGAAGTGGCACTGTCCTTCTCAGGGACTAACTTGATGGACCTGACATTTAGAGGAAATGAGGTCCATTCAGTATTTCTCCCCATAGTGGGTAGATATGCCCCACCTTCATGCCCAGTGCTGACCACTGAGCTTCAGGGTATGCTCGCTCATCCATTCATTCATTTATTCAACTAACATGTTGAGCTAACTCTGCCATGCTCCCTTCCTGCCTCTGTGGTACCCACGAAACACCACCTATGATTCCAGGGCCCTGTTCTCCCAGTCCCAGTTCACTGCATGTACCTATTTGCTCAAGTTAGGAACTTGGTTTTCAGCATTTTCATTTTGGCCTAAGCATTGCTGCAATTGGTTTCCCTGCTATTGCCCTCAGACCAGTCAGTCCAACTTGGCACAATGTCAATTTTGCATAACTTAGATGCTGAAAATGTTTCTTAATGTTCATCTCTGGATGAGTGCTATCCATCTATGCATCCCATCTATCTATCTATCCATCTATCCATCCATCCATCCCCCAGCCAACTGTCATCTCTATCATCTATCTCTCTTTCTGCCTGCCTATCTATCCACTCATCATCTCGATCATCTATATGTCTCTATCTCTCCATTCATCCATTGATTCCATCTTTCTTTGGATTACTGTACACTGTGAAGACAAGGAAGATTGCCCAGTTTATGACCCAGGAATGCTCCTAGGGTGACTAGCCAGGAAGAGGAGAGGGGCTGTGCCCAGATTCAACTTTCCATAGGGATCCAGCTTCCTCAAGGTCTCCTTGCACTCCCCTTAATGGCTGGCACTTGAGCTCAAGCCATCTGACCCCAGTGGTCTATTGTTCTGTTTTTTAAGGCTACTTTGGTGGCAGCTCCCTTTGTGGCAGATGGCTCCACAGTGAGTCCTTCTGTGCCTGGCCCACACACCCTTCTCTGGAGGGCGCTGGGAGCAAAGTGGATAGCATACCTCCTCCTTGTGACTCCTGTGCCCATGTGTCTGGCCAGCACCAAGAGATGCCACAGGTATAGACCCCAGACCTTTGCATAATACGCCTGCTGAAGCCCATACAACAGGGCCAGTGTAGTTATTAACATCTATGCTGAGGGTTTTTCTTTGGAACCAGCCCTACTCTCACCCAGGTAATGAGATAATTCTGACAAACTATCTTTGGTCCATGTTTAGGTATTCATCCCACACCCCAGGCAAATGGTCATTTGGTGAACTGGCCATTTTGGGACTTAATCATTTCGGCAAATTGATTGTCAATTAGCTTTTGGTGAATTACCCCTCAGCTGAGCACCACACTACAGAGGGTATTCAGCATGTGCTCAATCCACAATCATTTGGCTGCCTCCCACCTGTCTGAGATACAGGTGCCCTCCCTGCTCTCAACACCACACTGAACTCACCTCTCAGGATTTCCTATGGGCCTCTTGCCTCCAGGGGAGCATCTGGGATCCTCTGCACTGGTCAGAGAGTCTGTGTCTGAAAGGTTAAGTGAAAGATTAAGTGTCACACAATGGTGAGGAGAGCAGGGGCAGTGACGCAGGTCTCTGACCTGGCTTTGACACCCACTGAGTAAGTGGCCTCAGCATCTCTGAGCATTTGTTTCTTCTGACCTGGCTCCTGTTACCACCCCAGTGTCCTTTCTCAGCCCTCCTCAGGTTCTTTCAGATACCTCATTCATTCACTCACTCGTTCAACAAACATAACTGAGTACCTTCTATGAACTTGGGGTTGTAAAAACATCCGTGAATTCTATACAAAGTCAAACTGCTCCCAGCTCCCTGACACTCTTGTCCAAGGGGTTTCTTGTGCCTGGAATGTTCTTTCTTGGAGAACTCCCACCCAGCCTCAGGCATTGCCTTCCCCAGGAACCCTCCCTGTACTTTCCCAGACTGGGTTCAATCTTCAGGCTCTAGAATGGTGCCTTTGTGAAACCACCAGCAGTATTTTTACCAAGGTGGCCAGCGCTCAGCAGATACTTTCAGAAAGGGCAGCGCTTGGCACTGGGGGAGACCTGAGCATTGAATCCTGCCTTTGTCATGCAGAGGCAGTGTACAGCATTCTTGGGAGTCAAGCTTCCCAGGGTTCAGATCCCACCTACAAGCCATGTGACTTTGGGCAAGTTCCTTAACTTCTGGGCCATCTGTAAAATGGAGATAATTACAGTGCCCTCACAAAGGCATCATAACAGTTAAATGACTAATGCCTATGAAGTGCTATCAGCTGTTACTCTCCACTCACTGTGTGGGAGCTGGTTAAGTGCTTAGCTGCTAACTGCAAGGTCAGTGGTTCAAGCCCACGAGCTGCTTAGAGGGAGAAAGATGTGGCAGCCTGCCTTTGTGAAGATTATAGCCTTGGAAGTCCTATGGGGTTTTTCTAGTCTGTTTGCTATGAGTCAGAGTCCACTTGATGTCATTGGGTTTGGTGTGTGAGCTTAGATAAGTTACCTTCCTTCTAGAACATCATCATTTACCCAGCAGTCACTGTGCTCGCTGGATATTAGGGACCCTCGCTAGCATGTCACGGGACTTTGGTCTCTAGCACCAACAGCCTTCTTGCTCAGTCTCTGGAGCAGTTGAGATCATAGACTCCAGAGCTGCACACACTCAACTTTAAATCTTGGCTCCATCACTGTGACTTTGGGCAGATTACTTAACTATTTTTGCTCCAGTGTGCTCATCTCATAGGGATGTTGTGCAGAGGAAAAGAAATCATGTATACTTCTAGAAGCACTTAGCAAGCTCTGGGCTCATAGGAGGTGTCATGGACTCTTACTGAGGGAGGGGGTGGCCCCTTGGGAGAGCCATCTGCCTCCAGGTCTAGCCCCCAGGGAGGGTGTGGCCAAAACGCCCCACTCTCATGGCAGTGGGACCCTTAGTGCCTTCTCCCCATAGGTGGCGGAAACCAGGCAAGGAGAATCAGCAAAGTGCAGCCTGTACCTCCTTCTCCTCCATCTCCTGGCTGCCTGGCCCGACCTAGAAGGTCCACCAGGGCCCCCTTTCTGTGCAGAAGCTCCTGGTAGGAGCCCATCTCTGCGATGGCCCCATCCACCAGCACCACGATCTGATCAGCCTGAGGCAGGATGTGGAGCGCATTAGTCACAAGGATCCGTGTCTGAGGAGGGAAGGGGTGGAAGTTATGCTCCTCATAACTCATGACCAGCCTTCCAGAACTGGAAGGGGCCTGTCCTTGGGCTGAGAGTGGGGAAAGCCAGTGACTGGCAGGCTCCCCCTGTTGTACTCTTGTCTGCATGCTCCAATAGAGGGGGCTCCTTCAACCTGTGTCTCAAAACAAGAAGACACATGGAGCCCACCTGCACCTGGCCCATACCCTGTGGCATAGCTATAGTGGCTGGGCCTGTAAGCAAGAAATAACTTTTTGCTGGTGTCAGCCACTAAGTTTTGGGGCTGTTTGTTATGTAGCATTGTCACATCAACAGCTGACTGATACAAAGAGGAGAGCTGGACTGAAGGAGGGGATGGTGAAATAGACTTCTGACCCAACCTCCCCCAGTGTTACCGTTCCCTGGAGCAGCCCATTGGGCCCGATGACCTGGTGGAAGACATGCCGGCCGACATGGGCATCTAGGGCCGCCAGAGGGTCATCCAGCAGGTACACTGCAGCCTTTCTGTACACAGCCCGGGCCAGGCTCAGCCGCTGCTTCTGGCCCCCTGAGAGATTCATACCCTATGGCCACAAGAGATAGACAGGGGCCTGGGTCTCCATTTGCAGAGTGGAGCAGTTGTCTCAGGGCAGGGTGCCGCTCACTGTGCCCATCTCCAGGGCCATCTCCACTTGCTTGCATATTGACATCCCCCCCAGTCTCTTCCCCACTTCTCTTCTCCCCTTGTCAGTCAAGCTTCCTGGAGGAGTTGTCTGCATTCTCCATCTGTTTTCTTTCCTTCCACTCACTTCTTCACTCTGGCTTCTGTTCCCATCTCTACACTGATAACCACTATCTTCAATGACACCAATAATCCCTAGTTGCCTAATCCAGGGGTAGCTTTCCAATCCTTATTTTCATTCATTCATCTAAAATTTATTGTATATCTATTATACACTTGGAGTCCCTGGGTGATCCCTGGGTATTGTAAACAGCTAATGGAAGCTCTGGTAGCGTAGTGCCTAAGGCACTTGACTGCTAACCAGAAGGCTGGTGGTTCAAACCCCCCAGCCACTCCTCAGAAAGAAGATGGGGCAAGCTACTTCCATAGTCATACTGCCTCGGAAACCCAAGGAGGGGTCGCTATGAGTTGGGTCCAACTCGATGGCACATAACAACAACAACAACAACAATGTGCTTCACTGCTAATTGAAAGGTTGGGTGTTTGATTCCACCTAGAGGTGCTTGGAAGAAAGGCCTGAGGGTCTATTTCCAAAAAATTAGCCATTGAAATCCCTATAGAACACAGTTCTATTCTAACATACCAAAGGTCACCATAAGTCAGAGTCAACTTGACAGCAACTGCTCTACCAAATATCAAATCTGTTCTAGGCTCTGAGGACACAGCAATGAACAAGACAAAGTCCTTGCTCTCATTGATCTTTCATTCTAATGATGGAGGTAGAGTAGAAGACAGACAATAAATAAGCAAACAAGTAAAATCAATAGCATATCAGCTGGTGTTGAGTGCTATGAGGAATAATGAAGCAGAGTGGGATGTGGGTGTACTGGCATGGGCAGGGTTGCTGTGTTGGGGAGGATGGTCAGGGAAGGCCTCTCCATCGAGGTGACATTTCAGTGGAGACTTGACAGGAGTGAGGGATGAGCCAGGGGCATCTAGGGATAGCTTTCCAAGTAGAGGGCACAGCAGGTGCAAAAACCCTGAGGTGGGAGGTGCTTTGGTATTAAGGATGATTATGGAGACCCAAGTGCCTGGAGTGAAGTGGGAAGGGAAGCTTAGCAGGAAGTGGGGTCAAAGATAATGGGTCAGATTATGGGGGGCTTATTAGGAGCTCTAGTGGCATAGTCCCTAAGGCACTTGACTGCTAACCAGAAGGCTGGCAGTTCAAATCTACCAGCCACTCCTCAGAAGGAAGATGGGGCAATCTACTTCCATAGTGATACTACCTCGGAAACCCAAGGAGGGGTCACTATGAGTTGGGTCCGACTCAATGGCACAAAACAACAACAAACAACATTTGGCAATTGTCAGAATTTTGGAAAATGGGGAGACACCTGAGAGTTCAGAACAGAAGGGCATAACTCAGCTATGTTGTAACAGAACCCCATGGCTGCTGGACCAGATTTGACAGGAAGTGAAGGAGGAAATGGAGGCCAGCAGGTGGCCACTGAAGCAACGTGAGGCCGTTGATGGTGGATGGGCCAGAACTTTCCAGGTCTGCTTCAAAGGTAGACAGATCAGAGGTGGGTGTAGGAGAAGAGGAAGATTCAAGGATAACACCAAAATTTGGGACCTGAGTCTGTGGGAGGATGAAGCTGTCATCACTGGAGGTGGGTTGGTGTCAGAAGGAGGAGATTCTGGAGATCAGATGTTTGGTTTAGTACGTGTCACAGCCGGATGAACTTTAGATGGCACCAGGTGCCCTCCTTCCTTCTTAAACACTCTTCCCTTGGCCTCTGTGACATCACACACAACCACCTGCCCCTGTCCTCCTGGTTTGCCTCCTACCTCCCTGCACACACCTTCTCAAGCTCCTTCAGGCTCACCTCTGCCCCCAGCCCACACAGAACTCCTAGAGACTCTTCCTGGGCCCTTTCCTCTCCTCTCCAGGAAACCTCACCCACTCCCTTAACATTAACTCCCATTTTCCCACTGACAATTCCCTAACAAGGGGCTGTTATATAACTTCTATAAAGGGCCAAGAAGTAACTATTTAGGTTTTGCAGACCAGTTGCAACTGCTCATCTCTTTTATTGTAGCTCAAAACCTGTTACAGAGAGTAGTGAGTGAATGACTTCCAATAAAACTTTATTTACAAACACAGGCTTATGGCCAGATTTGACCCATGGCTTATAGTTTGCTGAACCCTACCCATCCACAATCCTGCTTATTGGACATCACCTCCTAGATCTTTTGCTGAGGCTCAGAGGTGGTAGCAATTTGCCCGTGTCATCCAACAAGGCAAGTAAGGGCAGGGCAGTAGTCCAGGACTACTTACTCAAAGGTTAGAGAGCCTGTCACATTACTACCCTGTTTCTCTGCCTCTTGCTGTGTCTCTGTTTTCAATCATCCACTCACTCATTACTGTTTACTGAGCACTTACTATGTGCTTAGCCCAAAGCTGGGTCCATCATCTCTCCCATGTCCCTGCTCTCCTCTGTCTTCCCCTCTGTCCCTCTTTCCACATCGTCAGGGACCAATGAAGCTAATAGCCCCACTGCGATGTCTCCCAGGAAGGCCCAAGACCCCACCTGCTCCCCAACTTGGGTGTGGACTCCTGTGGGGAAGCGGTCCATGTCTGGCCACAGGGCACAGGCCTTCAGGACTCTCTTCAGCCATGGCGAATCCAAGTCCAGCTGGAAGCACACGTTCTCCACCACGGAGGTGTTCTGGACCCAGGCCTCCTGGGGCACATAGGCCACGGAACCCTAAAACACAGCTTACCTTGGCCATTGAGAGGTAGATGGGACAGAGACAGGAGCACTTTTGGAGGGGTGGTGGGAGAGAGGTGGTGGCAGAGGGGTGGTAGGAGGTGGGGTCTGTGTGACTATGGAGGACCAGGGAGGAAGCAGAAGGGTTTGTAGAATGGGGATGGTTCTAGACAGGGAATGTGTGGCCTCACCTTGATGCGCACGGACCCCTCCAACTTTGACAGCTCCCCGAGGAGGGCAGAGAGCAGGGAAGACTTCCCTGCCCCCACTGGACCGATGACAGCCATCAAACAGCCCTGGGGCACTGTGAGGTTTATCCTGGCAACACAGGAGGGGAGCTGTGGCCCAGGTTAGGGCTCAAGCCAAATCTGTCAACTGGTGAACCTCAAACAGAGCTGGCTTTTCCTGCTAAAGTCATCCAGAAAATCACCAAAAGGACATGCATGAGGGAGTTCTTCCTCACCCAGTCCTTCTCTGGCCAGCCAAGCAGCCATTTCCCTACATTTCCACATGCACATGTGTGCACATACACATGCACATGTGCATACTCAATACAAGCACACACACAAGCACACACATGCATGCACCTAAACACACATATGCATACACAGATGTATGCACACATACATATATTCATGTACACATATGCCCATACACATGCACATCCATACTCACAAGCACACAGTGCACATGTGCGCATACATGCACTTACCTGCACATACACTCATGGATGCACATACACTCATATATGTACATATAGTGCATACACATATACTCATGTGTGCACACATGCACAGAATGCATATATTCAAGTACATGCATGCTCATACACGCAAAGTGCATGCTTTCTAACAGTGTGCACACATGTACACACATACATTCATACTTGCACACACTCATGCATGCACATGCACTCACACACTTGTGCATATATGCTTATGCAATACACAGAGTACACACACTTGTGTGTGACCACACACACACACACACATGCAGTCATATACCTGTGCATGCACACATGTATTCATTCAGTACACACATACATACCATAAAGTGTGTGCACACACAGGAAGGTCTTTCTAGCACCATCTCTTGCCTAGGTTATTGCAGTAGGCTCTTGGCTGCTCTCGCTGCTCTGCCCTTGCCCTGTCACTTCCTGCAATCCGTTAACCACCCAGTGACCAGAGTGGAGATCATGACACCTCCCTGTAAAGAACCCTTCAGTGGTTCCTTTCTCACTGTGGTTAAAAGCCAAGTCCTGACCATGTCCTGCACATGTGCCCCCATCACCTCTTTACCCCATCTCCAGCCACTCTGCCTTGGCCAACTCACCACGTACCTGTTTCTAGAACACAATGGGCCCGTGATTCTCAACCACTTGGGCCCCAGAGGGCTTTCGGCAATGTTTGGAGATGTTTTTGGTTGTTTTAATTGAGGGAGGGGGCAGACTGTTGGCTCCTGCATCTAGTAGTTAAGAAACCAACATCCTGCTAAACATCCTACTACGCAAAGGCAGCCACCACAACACAGAATCATCAGTCCAAAAGTCAGCAGTGCCAAGGCCGAGAAACCCTGGTCCAGGCACACTCCAGCCACAGGACATTTGCACTTGCTGTTCTCACTGACCAGAAAGCTCTTCCCCCAGACACCTGACAAGATCGCTGCTTCCCTTCATTACAATTTCAGCTCAAATGCCCGGCCTTCCCTCACTTTCTGCTTTAAAATAACCCTCCATACACCTGTCCCTCAGCATTTCACTTTGTCCTCTTACCCTGATTTCCTGTTTGTATCCCCCCATAAGAATGTCAGCCCTGAGAAGGCAGGGAGCTCATCTTTCTTGTGTACAACTATATCCCAGTGCCCAGAATAGGGCCTTGCATATAGTAAATATTCAATAAATACCGTGGAATGAATTAATGGTAACAGACACAATGAATGGTAACAGCCTACAGTGGAGTCCCTGGGTAATGTAAATGGTTAAGCACTTGGCTAGTAACCAAAAGGCTGGCAGTTCAAGTCCACCCAGAGGTGCATTGGAAGAAAGGTTTGATCTATTTCCTAAAAATCAGGCATAGATAAGGAATTGAAGGAGCCTTGATGGTGCAGTGGTTAAGACTCAGCTGCTAACCAAAAGGTAAGTGGTTTGAGCTCACCAGCTGCTCTCCGGGAGAAGGATGTGGCAGTAAGCTTCTGCAAAGATTGTTGTTTCTTCTAGGTGCCATTCAGTTGGTTCTGACTCATAGTGATCCTATGTACGACAGAATGAAACAATGCCCAGTTCTGCACCATCCTCACAATGGTTGCTATACTTGAGCCCCTTGTTGCAGCCACTGTGTCGACCCACCTCACTGAAGGTGTTCCTCTTTCCCACTGTTCCTCTGCTTTACCAAGAATGATACCCTCCAGGGAATGGTCCCTCCTGATAACATAATGGAAGAACAAGAGATGAAGTCTTGCCATCCACACTTCTAAGGAGTATTCTGGCTGTACTTCTCCCAAAATAGATTTTTTCATTCTTTTGACAGTCCATTGTATATTCAATATTCTTCACCAACACCACAATTCAAATGTATCAATTTTTCTTCAGTCTTTCTTATTCATTGTCTAGCTTTCATATGCATAGGAGGCTATTGAAATTACCGTGGCTTGGGGCTGGCGCCCCTTACTCTTTAAAGTGACATCTTTGCTTTTTAACACTCTATAAAGAGTTTTTTGTTTTTTTTTTTTTGCCCTCCAGCAAATTTGCCCAAATCAATATGTTATTTGATTTCTTGACTGCCGCTTCCATGGGCATTGATTGTGGATCCAAGTAAAACGAAATCTTTGAGAATTTCAATCTTTTCTCCATTTATTGTGATGTTGCTTTATTGGCCCAGTTGTGAGGATTTTTGTTTTTTTTGTTGAGGTGTATTCTACACTGAATGCTTTGATCTTCATCAGTAAGTGCTTCAAGTCTTCTTCACTTTCAGCAAGCAAGGCTGTGTCATCTGCATATTTCAGGTTATTAATGATTTCCTTCATTCCTGATACCATGTTCTTCTTCACGTAGTCCAGCTTCTCAGATTATTTGCTCAGCACACAGATTGAATAAGTATGGTGAAAGGATACAACCTTGATAGAAACCCTTCGTGATTTTAAACCACACAATATCATCTTGTTCTGTTTGAACTGCTACCTCTTGGTTTATGTAATTGTACTACTATGTGTAATCACAATTGTTATAGAATCCTTATTCTTTGCAATGTTATCCATAATTTGTTATGATCCACACAGTCGAATGCCTTTGCATAATCAATGAAACACAGGTAAATATCTTTCTGGTGTTCTGTATTTTCAGCCAAGATCCATCTGACATCAGCAGTGATAGCCCTCATTCCACATCCTTTTCTGAGTCTGGCTTGAATTTCGGTCAGTTCCTTGTTGATGTACTGCTGCAACTATTTTTATTAAGTTCAGCAAAGTTTTACTTGCTTATGATATTTATGATATTATTTAATAATTTCCACATCCTATTGCATCACTTTTCTTTGGGATGGGGACAAATATGATCTCTTCCAGTTGGTTGACCAGGTAGATGTCTTCCAAATTTCTTGGCATAAATGCATGACCACCTCCAGTACTTTGTTGAAACATCTCAGTGGGTATTCGTCAATTCTTGGAGCCTTGCTTTTCACCAATTCCTTCAGTGCGGCTTGGACTTCTTCCTCAATACCATCGGTTCTTGATCATATGCTACCTCCTCAAATGATTGAACATCGGCCAGTTCTTATTGGTACAGTGACTCTGTGTATTCCTTCCATCTCTCTTTGATGCTTCCTGCCTCATTCAATATTTTGTCCATAGAATCCTTCAATATTGCAACTTGAGGCTTGAATTTTTTTGTTCACTTCTTTCCACTTAAGAAATGCTGAATATGTTCTTCCCTTTAGATTTTTAACTTCAGGCATTTGGACATTTCATTGTAATAATTTACTTTGTCTTCTCAAGATGCTCTTTAAAATCTTCTGATCAGCTCTTTTATCGTTATTTCTTCCATTCACTTTAGCTACTCTCTGTTCAAGAGCATATTTCAGTCTCTTCTGACATCTATTTTGGTCTTTTCCTCTTTTCCTGTCTTTTTAATGACCTTTTGTTCTCTTCATATATGATGTTCTTGATGTCATCCCACAATTCATCTGGTTTTGGGTTACGGGTGTTCAACACATCAGATCTAGTGTTCAGATAGTCTCTAAATTCAGGTAGGATATAATCAAGGTCATATTTTGGCTCTCATAGACTTGTTTTAATTTTCTTCAACTTCAGCTTGAACTTGCATATGAGCAATTGATAGTCTGTTCCACACTCAGCTCCTGGCCTTGTTTTGACTGATAATATTGAGCTTCTCTATCACCTCTTTCCACACATGTAGTCAATCTGGTTTCTGTGTATTCCATCTGGCAAGGTCCACGTGTATAGCCACTGTTCATGTTGCAAAAAAAAAGGTATTTGAAATGAATAAGTCATTGGTCTTGCAACATCCTATCATGCTATCTCTGGCATCATTTATTTCATGAAGGTCATATTTGCGGCTACCGATGATTCTTCTCTGCTTGCAACTTGTGCATTCTATTCACCAATAATAATCAATACATCTTGATTGCATGTTTGGTCAATTTCAGACTGCAGAAGCTGGTAAAAACCTTCAATTTCTTCATCTTTGGCTTTAGTGGTTTTTGCATAAATTTGAAAAATAACTACTATTAACTGGTCTTCTTTGTAGGTATATGGATATTATCCTACTACTGATAGTACTGTTCTTCAGGATCGATCCTAGAACATTCTTTTTGATGATGAATGCACTGCCATTCCTTTTTGTCATTCCCAGCATAGTAGACCATGTGATTTTCTGATTCAGAATAGCCAATAGCAGTCCACTTTAGCTTACCAATGCCCAAGATATTGATCTGTATGTGTTTCATTTCATTTTTGACATCTTCCAATTTTCCTAGATTCATACTTCATACATTCCATGTTCTGAGTATTAATGGATGTTTGCAGCTGTTTCTTTCCATTTTGAGTCGTGCCACATCAGCAAATAAAGGCCCCAAAAGCTTTACTCCATCCATGTCATTAAGATGGACTCTATTTTGAGGAGTGAGACCTTTCCCAATTGTATTTTGAGTGTTTTCCAACTTGTAGTGCCGTGCCTAAGGCATTTGACTGCTAACCAGAAGGCTGGCAGTTCAAACCCACCAGCCACTCCTTGGAAGTAAGATTGAGCAATCTACTTCCGTAGAGATACCACCTTGGAAACCCAAGGAGGGGTCACTAAGTCGAATCAACTTGACAAAAGTGTTTGGGTTTTTTTTGGTTTCCAACTTGAGGGGCTCATCATTCACCATTACGCCAGACAAAGTTTCAGGACTATTTGTAAGGTTTTCAGTGGCTAACCTTTTTTAGAAGTGGATGGCCCTATTCTTCTTCTAGTCTGTCTTATTCTGGAAGGTCTGCTGAGACCTGCCCACCATTGGTGACCCTGCTGGTATTTGAAATGCTGGTGTCATAGCTTCTAGCCTCACAGCAATACACAAGGCACCACAGTACAACAAACTGACAGACAAATGGTGGTTTGTGTTCAGTGCATTGAATCTGCTCTCCAGATGGTCTCTAAATTCAGGTGAGCTTTACTCAAGATCATAGTTTGGCTTTTGTGGACCTGTTTTAATTTTCTTTACCTTCAACTTAAACTTGCATATGAGCAATTGATCATCAGCCACTCCTTGGAAGGAAGATTGGGCAATCTACTTCCATAGTGATACTGCCTTGGAAACCCAAGGAGGGGTCGCTATGAGTCGGGTCCGATTTGACGGCACATAACAACAACAACAAAGATTACAGTCTTGGAAACCCTATGGGTCAATTTTATTCTGTCCTGTAGGGTCACTATGAATCAGGATTGACTCGATGGCAATGGGTTTGGTTTTGGTTTAATTAGGAATTGACTCAATGACTACTACTGTGTGTGTGTGTGTGTGTGTGTGTGTCTGTTTATTACCCATGGTACTTTCTTTCCTTTCTTAGTGAGTTTTGGAGTCTGGTGGTGTTTTCTGCCATAAAGACTCAGCCAAAGAGTTGGGGCTGGAAGTGACAATGACCTAGGGACTAAGACAAGAGGGACAGATGATGCCAGGGTTGGGGCCTCCTCTTTTCTCCTTTTTAATTTTTCATTGTGGTTTAGATGAGTTATAGAACAAATTAGTTTTCCACTCAACAATTATACACATTTTGTTTTGTGGAATTGGTTGCAATCCCCTCAATGTAACAGCACTCTTCCCACCTCCTCCCTGGGTTCCCTGTTTCCATTTGTCCTTCTTTCCTGCCCCTTCCTACCTTCTGAATTTTGTTTTGTGGTAAATGGTGCCCTTTTGGCCTCGTATGGTTATTGTACTGAGGAATATGTTACTCCCTGGTATTATTATTCACTTTATATGCTTGTCTATCATTTGGCTGAAGATTGACCCTGGGGGTAGGTTCAGTTCCAGGCTTGAAGGGTATCTAAGGGCCTTTAGAGCCTGGGGAGC